GGGGAGGGAGGGAGAGGGGAAAATGGAAAATGAGATAATTCCAGGAACCCAAGAGGAAAGCGAATTTTGAGAATGATGAGGGCAACAAATGTATAAGTGTGCTTTATACAATTGATCTATGTATTGTGATGAATTGTATGAGCCCCAATAAAATGATTAATAAATAAATAAATAATTTTAAAAATTCTCTGTGTAATTGGTCACACAGATGCGAAGGTAATTTTTTCTATGGGTATTTTATATGATACTCATGTTTCCTAAATAGTTCAAGAAAAGATCTGGGTGATTTCATTCCACAATTTTTGTTGTTCTTCTTCTTTTTAACTTTTTTTCCCCTTTCTTTTAAACATGACAGCAGCTTATTTTTTAGATGTAGTTGTGAGTGAAAGCTATACCACCATATATACTTGTGTATAAGCTGAGTTTTTCAGCACATTTTTTATGCCGTTTTTGAGGTAAGATTAGGTGCCTTGGCTGATAATCGGGTCTGCTTATACTCAAGTATCTACAGTACTATTTTGAAGCGATACCTTCTGGACCTTTCTTGAAATCTTGGCCTCCGATTGAATAGTGGTTGTCACACTAACCATCAAAGCCAGTCAGAGAAGAAAGAGTGGTATGAGACCTTGGTCTGCTCACTCAACCTCTCTAAATCTCATTTCTGATTTGTAATACAGTCTAGTAACACCAACCTAATAGAATGGTTGTGACAAATAAGACCATTTGTAGAGTACCTGGGACACAGCAGGCACAACGAACCAACCACCTTCACTACCATTGCATCGGTTCCAACTCATAGCAACCCCATGGGCAGGGCAGAAGCTCCTCCCCCGTGGGTTCTGAGATTGCAGTCGCTTATGGGAGTAGAAAGCCTGCCTTTCTCCCTTGGAGCGGCTGATCCTTTCAAACTGCAGACCTTGGGTTTAGCAGCCCAGCTCGTAACCCACTCTGCCCCCGGGCTCCTTAGTAGGCACATAGCCAGTGTTATTTGCACCTTCTCTATCTCTTAGCTGGGAAAAAGGTGAGACTTTTGGATCCTGTAATAAGTTACAGCCTCTTAAACCCAAGAGGTTGCTGTGAGTCTGAATGATATCTCACAATATGGCTCCGGGCACACACAGTGCCCCTCAACTTGATTGTTAGCTAGCTTGATGGTAACTATTTTCTTGCCTCTACTAGTTTCTGTGGCCTCTTAACAGACCATTGATTCCTCTGTATCTGTTATGTGGACATGAATGTTAGAAAATTAATGTGAGAAAGCATCTGAGCTTGTTTTCTTTCCTTTTATTTGTTAATAAATATGTTTTTCTCTTTACTTACTAGAGAACTTTTTTTGAAGACTAATGCCCAGTTGACAATTCGATGCAAACAATTACTATCTGAACTTTCCTACATTTATCCTATTGATTTGGTAAGTTTTCAATCTTCTGAACAGATATTTGATTGTGAAAAAAAGTATTCCAGTTTGAAATTCCTCCCAATGAACACGCCCATTGCTTTGGCTTGATTGGGTGCTCTGACACAACTCATTCAGAAGCTGTTATTCCTTTGGGTTTGGATTGGTCTGGCCTCAGTTTCAGAGTATCTTTTTTCTAAAATAAATCCAGCTGTGGTAGTGTGCACTCATTTTCTTTAGTCTCTTTTCAGCCAACCCAATGATCCACTGCCACCATTTCTGTTATATACAAGCAGACATATGCAGTGACATGTGCACTGCTTTAAAACATAAACCTATTACTTCTTATTTGTTAGTGCTGCTTAAGATATTCTTGGAATCACTGCCAAGATGTTTTCAAGCCTAGATTCCTATTAAGTGCAAAATAGTAAAACTTAAACAAAACTGATTAGAATTTTTCTCTAAGAGAACCAAATCATCTAAGTTTGTTTTCTTTGTTGTCTCTTGACTGAAAATATAATTTAAAGACTGATTTTAAGAGCGGAACACTGATAGGATTTGAGATTGTTCAAAGGACCTTGTATAAACCCACATGGAAATTTTAGGTTTTATAGAGATTAATTGGTGAGAAAAATATTTGTATGATAAATTTTACATGGTTTTTTTCCTGCTTGAACATGGCATTTTAGATGGTTTTATTAAGGAAAATGTCCAGCCCATACAAACAGAGAAGGGTAGGGTAATGAGGCACCTTGTGCTACTTAACACCCCACTTCAACAAATGTATTTGAGTTCAGGAAAGTCATATTTGAGTCATCACTGAGCCTACTGAGATTTTCTGAGAATTTCTTTGAGAGGGATGTGTGTGTCGGGGGCAAGGGTGGAATTAAAAGGTAAAGCCACTTTCCAGACTCTTATGTAGGTATGTATATGAAGGAGCCCTGATTGTGTATGGTTAGCGTTCTCCTAAAGAGGCTCCTCACCAAGGTTAGTGATTCAAATGCACCAGCTGCTCAGTGAAAGAAAGATGGGCCAGGCTGCTTCCAGAAAGATCGCAGCCTACGGACAGTTCTACTGTGGACTGTCAGGTCGCTATGAGTCAGAAGCAAATCAACAGCAGTGGCTTTGTGTATATTAATTTCATCTCTGGTGAAATTTGCAGAACGACCATAAAGATTACTTCGTATGTGGTGTCAAGTTACCCAATTCTGAGGACTTTCAAGGTATTTTATTTCTTTTTTCCCCTTCTATAGATTTGGTGTATATACTATGTGTATATATAGTTATAGAGGGTTATAGATGGGGGTGGGGAGGTGGGGGATGGAGACATCTTGAAATTGTTTGCCTCGTACTTTGTCCAGAAGATTTTTGGAACTTCTGCCCTTTCTCAATGGTAAATATAGAGAGTCCATTTCCCTGATGAAAAATAGAGGCTATTTGGGCCTAATCGTGGTCCAAAACAGAATTCTATACTAAAACTTGAAAATAGCTTTTAAATGGCCTTTAAGAAAATCAGGCAGTATGGTTCATGATAGTACTAAAGTTTCTTACTTTATTTTCATGAAGCATATGTGTGGTTGAGAGAAGAGCAACAAAAGAATATTTTTCTTAGTTCAATAACTTTTAAGATTCCTAGTCTAAACAGTGTTTTAAGGTCTATTAGATATCTCTGTAGATTGTTCCTGATGCTAGTATATTATGTATTTGAGGAGAAATTACTCAAAAAGAAAGCATTACTCATTTTGATCAGGGTGCTTCCAACTTTCCATGAGGAAACTATTGTGGATATTTTGGGGTTTGTTTGGGATCATGAATCAGAATTGACTCAACCACCACACCACCATTTAAGACTATTTGACTTTTAACAAGGGTTTCTGGGTCCTACAACAAGTAGTTGGGGCATTTTCTTGTCTCATGTAATCCTGAAGGAATTGAGGCAGCATGGTATGCTGATGACCCAGGGGAGGGAAACCGGTGTCCCAGGCCTGCTTACCCTTCTACAGACCAGGTAATTTAGAGCAGGTCATATAACTTTGAGTTGATTTCTTAATCTATAGTATGAATATTTACATCCTACCTGCCACACATGGTTGTTTTGAAGATTAGATAGAATTTAACATTATCTGGAAAACAAAAGAGTTTGATGGTCAAACGAATTGGCAAGAACATGACCAGGCCCACATGGCAGCCAATAGAGCTGTAGAACTGATCTTGCATAACTTCTCCTACATATTTTGCCATCACATTCTGGTTTCCATTTGTGTTGTTGACTCAGGACCAAACCAAAAACAAAACCTACTGCCATCACATCAGCTGACTTACAGCAACCCTGTAGGATGGAGTAGAACTCCTTCATAGAGTTTCCAAAACTGTGGGCATTTGAGGCACAGCCCTTTCAGTTAGCAGCCTAATGTTGAATCCAATGTGCCACTGGGGCTTGTTTATAGACCCAAGCTAACACTTGTCCTCTCACTGTAAGTAAGCATTGGACTGCTAACTGCAAAGTCTGTGGTTCCAACCCACCAGCTGCTCCACAGGCGAAAGATGAGACTGTCTGTTCCCATAAAGATTTGCAAAACTTTGGAAACCCTCACCATGGACTTGATAGCATTAGGTTTGGGTTTGGAAGAATGCTTTATATGACTTATCTATAATCCTCACAAAAACAAAGAAAGCCATTAAGGTGGTATAATCCTTATTTTCCAATGTGTAAGATGAGAAGTACAGCTGTTTAATGACTTATTTGAGACTACAACACTAGTGATGGCCTAGCTTACATTTGTCCAAATGTGCACTGATACTAATTTTAGGTAAAGTTGTGGTGTTGTAAAGCTTCCAACTTATTTCTCCCCCATCCATTGAGTTAGCTAACATGAATTGTTTGTTCATGTTTGTTCAGATCATTTATTCAAAAAATATTCTTTAACTTCCATATGTCACTGCTGGATTGTGAGGATCTAACAATGAACAACGTAAACCTGTCTTCTCCCTCAGCCTGTTGAGGAAGACAATCAATAAACAAGAAACAAGTATTTAATCGTTGAGATTGACAGACCCAGTGGCTGTAACAATGGGCTGAAACAGAAGAGCAATTGTGAGGATGTGCAGGACAGGGGATGTTGCATTCTGTGGTACACAGGGTCACTGTGATTTAGAACTGACTTGATGGCACCTAACAACAACTCAAGTTGACTCTTCGGCACCAAATAACACTTCAGATAAAGCAATCAGAAGCACCTCTTTGGGGAACATTTAGCATAAGATATGAAGGCTGAAAAGGAGCAAGCATGCTAAAAGTGGAGAAGGAGCATTCCTAGAAGAGAGGGCCGCAAGTGCAGAAGCCATAATGGAAAATGGAGTGTGGCATGGCTAAAGAAAGAGAGGTAGGGGAGGGGAGGAAAAATATGTATTTTAGGTATATCCTTTAATCACTTACAAAATGAGACAATATCTACATCTCTGTTTTTTTTGTAATGACTGAATGCGTTATGTGTATGTATGTTTGTAGGTAGGTAGGTAAGTATATGGAGTGTGTGTATGTCAGACTGGGCTCTCTAGAGATGCAGGAGTGACCCTTATGAATTTGTGTGTCTAGAGAGAGTATGAATGGTTGACTGTATATCAAGAAAATGGCTCTCATACAGTTGGAAAAGTAGAAAGTTGTGGGTCAGATGTTAAGTTGGAGGCTTCTCCTGACTCAAAATAGCTTTGGGAGCTGGTGCACATTGGTGGCTACAGAGGTGGGTGAGTCAAAGGTCTGCTGGTGAGGCTTATGATGTAGTAAGAGAAGTGAATGAATCCAAGATCAGAAGATTAGATGCAGGCCACTGATGGCTCCTGGGATCACCAGGCAGTATGGCAGGCGATTGATTCAAGTCTAAAGAACCGGAAGTTGACAAGCCAGGTGCAGGGTCCAGACCCAGCAAATACCAAGTAACCTTTCCCACAGCATCTACTTCTATAGAAAGTTAGCGACACCACACAGAGACTTCCTTTTATTTGCATCAAAGTTGTGGCCTGAATTAGGGGGTGGCTTACAATTGCTTGGCCGCTCATAGCAGATCCCATTATGGTGTTGATTAAATTGTTTTAGCTCACATCATAGAGGATTACTAGCCTTTAGCTGCCAAACCACTGAGATTCCTGGCCCGGCCAAGATGTCATAAAACCTAACTGCCACATATAGTAATCCCAAAAGCCACTTTCTCCAAGTCAATTCTAACTCATTAGGCATTCAATAAATATATCGTAAAATCGATGAAAGCAAGTCTCTCTAAAGCAGAAATACGTCAGAGAATGAGCATGTGAATGCTTTCCGCTAAAATGAACAACAGAAAAGTGGTGAGACTCTGACCCCTGTCAAAGACAGAAAACTTGTGAGACTGGCAAAACAAGGCAGCGCTGTGGAGTTCCAGATCTCCCAGGTTTCACTGTGATTGGAACTAGCTGCAAGAAACAGACAGACAGACAATGGGCCAGACCATGTGGCCAGAGCAAGTGAGCAAAGGGAAGAGTTACATCAAAGGAGGTACATTGAGGCCATTGTAAGGAGCTAATATATATTCTTAGTGGACTGAGTACCTCCAAGGGCTTCAAAAAAGGGGATGACATGACATTTATTCTTTTAAAATAATAACTGGCTTCTAATTACAAATTGGTTTGAGGGTCGGCATGAGGGAGAAGTAGGCATATCAGCGAGGGGTGGTCTGGAGTGCTCATGATTCTGTGTTTGCTTTTGCTTGGAGGGCTTTGCTTCCTAGTTGTCACAGCTTCTAAAACTATCTGCATCTAGAATTCCCAACAAGATGAATGCATTCTCCTTGCCATTTAAGATTCGTGTTGCCTTTTAATGCAGTTGCTGAAAATTAAAAATGGGAGATAAATAAATGTTTAATTTTACTCAAGGGGCATGCGTTAGTTTCCTAGGGCTGCTATAGCAAATTATCACAGATGGAGTGGTTTTGAACAACCACTTAGTCTCACAGTACTGGAGGCCAGAAGTCCCAAATGAAGACATTAGTAGGACCTTGCTCTCTCTGGCGGCTCCTGGCAGGATCTTCCCTTGCTCCTTCCTCGTTTCTGGTGGTTGCAGGCAGTCCTTGACTTAAAACTGCAGCATCCCCATCTCTCCCTTCCTCTTCACGTGGCATTCTCCCGGTGTGTCAGAGTCCCTCCCCGTCCTTCTGGAAGGACACCAGTCATATTGGCTTAGGGCCTACCCCGATGACCTCATCTTAACTTCGTTCTATCTGCAGAGACCCTATTTCCAAATAAAGTCACACCCAAAGGTACTCAGGGTAGGAGCTCAGTTTATCCTCTTGGGGGATGCAGTTCAGTTCATCGCAGGCCCTACCTACTCACACCTCACCGCTCTGAAGAGTCAGAAAAACATAAAAACACTGGTAGTGTTAGAGCGCCCTGGCGGTATATAGTGGTTAGGGGTTTGAAACCACCAGCCACTCCAAGGGAGAAAGAAGAGGCTTTCTACTCATGGTCAGAGTTGGAGTTGCAGAAACCCAACGCAGTTCTCTCTACCCTGTCCATAGGCTATGGAGCAGACTTGACTGGCTGGCAGTGAGCATGGGTGGCAGTATTAGACTTTAACATGTGACACTAGCACTTCCATCTGCTCCGTGTATTGCCTGCCCGCTACATGCCATCTACGGACCTTGCCTCTGTAAGATCACAGTCCAGGAGGGAGGGGAAAAATGAGGACCTAATGTCGGGGGTTTAAATGGAGAGAAAATGTTTTGAGAAACGATGTACAAATGCGCTTTACACAATTGATGTGTGTATGGATTGGGATAACAGTTGTATGAGCCCCTAATAAAATGTTAAAAAATAAAAAATAAAATAAAATAAAGAACAACAAAAAAAAAAGATCACAGTCCATTCGACAACATCAGACTCGTAATCAAGTCACTCAAGAAATAGGGACTTCATAGTGTGTGTGTTAGGGACTTAGAAGTTTATCCTCTACCAGGGGCCTGGAAGCTTAAAGAAGTGAGACCATCATTTTATTTGGAGGGAAGCAGACGACACTTTATAGAGAAGAAGATCCCTAAGCTGTTTTAAAAGGTGACCTGTGTGCTGCTGAAAGAAGGCAGCAGAACGTTTGAGGTTGGATGAATAGTAACAGTGACATCGTGCTCAATGCTGCCACGTGTATTACTCCTCTCTCTCTCTCTCTCTCTCTCTCTCTCTCTCTCTCTCAGGACTTGTGTTGGAGACTAGTTGGGTTTTCCACAGAGCCATAGTAGTCAACGACAGAGCTCCAATCATCCTTTCGAAGCCCATAATATGACTATCTGGTCCCAGTTTTCTTCCTTACTGTGAAGAACCTTTACCAGACCCCTGGCAGCTTTTGGGTTCCATAAGGGCTGGTCGACCTATGACCTTCCGGGTATTTTGCTGCCCTTGACTTCACATTGCGTGGGTTGACACTATTGGGAAATGTCCCCATAGTGGCCCAACCTTGATGTGGTTTCCTACATGGGTAAGGGACGGTGAGAGTGTGCCAGAGAGACGTGGCCATAACCAAAGAAAAGTGTCCAGTGAAGGGCAGCCTTCTGAGTTCCATCGACCGCGACATCTGGCTCTGAACAAGAAAAGCAAAAGCGTGTGTGCGCGTTGCTGAGGAATCCATAACACGAAAGTCGTTCTGTGGTAATGAGACCCAGATTTCCTTCTCTGTCTGTATCCCTTTATGCAGGCTTGATTTCTTGGAAAGGAGAGCCCGCATGTCAAACAGTGTCTCCTTGATGCTGTGGCAGTGATTAGATCTTAACTCTTTGGCCCTATCTGGATCAGTGGGTGCTTGGTCCCTTATCAGATCCTCTGCCTCAGTGATGGGGAAGGCAGGATGTAAGAGCCTTTAGATCACTTTTTGACTTCGGGTGCATTTGAATATTAGTAGCTTGTCTAGCCTTTTGAGTTTGTTTTCAGTGTTCAAAATGGCCATTGCATGTCTGTGACTGTTATTGCCAGAAAAGTGACACAAAAGCTGCAGCTCTGAGGGCTTCCGACCTACCTTCAAATCCTTAATTAAAATGCATAGGTTTATTAAGAGGAAACGGGGTTGGTTTTGTCTTTAAGCCTCTTCAAGCATGAGTGGAACTGAGCTGTATCTCACACACCTGAGTCACACAGTCTGTTCCTGCTCCTCTCTGCTCCTTCCCACTCCCCCTCCACTTCTTCTCAACAACAAGATGCTCCGTGGCCTCCCTACCCCCGGAGCCGCTTAGGGAGGAGCACAAAGCCCTGCTCTACATTAGGTGTTAGTGCTTACTGGAAAAGCACACCCCAGAGAGCCAGGTTTGGGCTTTGGCAGGTAAAAAGGCTTTCAGATCTCGGAATGCTGGAAACCTTAAACCTTTTGGCTTTTCAGCTAAAGTGATTGGCAACAGCACGTGACAGCTGAGGTTGTAGGGCCAGCCTTAGCCATAATTAACCACATGAACTCACATTTTCCCACTGGAGGGTCAGTGGTCTTGGGGTGATGAAAGTGACTTCCCTACCAGGAGGTGGTTTTCCTTTTGAGGGTATTGGAATACTCTTGGGCCCTGTAATGCTTCTCTCATGGTCCTTTTAAAATGCTTTTTAATATAATGCTTCAGTATTGGAAATCCAACACTCCCTGTGTAGCAGGGCGGCCCTGGCTGAGCACTGTGGCCTGGAGTGGGAAGCAACCTGAACGTGGTAGTAGGTGGGGCAGGACACCCCGTGGTGAGTGCAAATAACTGGAATCAAAGCTGGTTTCCCTATTCACCAATTTTCAATTTTTGGCTCTTTCTCTTTGGTGTCTGATTTCTGCGTGTAGGCTTCTCTCAGATGCCTTTTAACTTTAAAATTCATACAAAGTTGTTTTGCTTCTTCCAGGGAGATGATGTTTAAGAGACTGATTTTTGTTCTTTAAAAGTGCAAGGGGGCTTCCCTAAGTTTGTGGAAAGGTAGCGTTTTTCCCCCCATGAACTTTTGGGATCCCCTTTATGTTGATGTGAATGTATTATCAAAATACACAGGTGTCATTTTGTAGTACCACCCCCTCTGTAAAATGGGGAAAAGGCAGGTGCTCAAGTGTTTAGCAGTAAATAGAGTTTTAAATGACATCTCATCGGTTGCCTTTGACTTGTTTGGAAGGCTAGCTGTGAGGTGTTGCCACATTCCGGAAGTTTTCCCTCCCTTTCCTGGCAGGTGATCTCTAGAAGGAAAAATTCGGTGTGCAGCACCACATACATACAGGGCTTATAAACTAAACTGTGAACCCTTCTCTTCTTCCCTCTTCCCTGAAAAGAAGCTTCTTAAAGACTAAGGCCTTTTCCTGTTAGGGTCATCTGACTTTGATAATGGCCTATTCTTTATAAGACGCATGAGGCAGGGTTTAGTAACCTTCTCAGGGACTCGCAAAGCCCTCTGGGGCTCCAGGGGGTGCGTAGGGACAATGCTCTCACTCCGTTCCTCACTTATGAATGTGCTACTGAGGTGGCTTTGACCAAGCCATTTATCACCCCTGCAGTGTGCGCCACCCCAAGATGCCATTTTTCTCTTCTCGACGTTGACAGGGTCATAGTCTGTGATGTCATTGTTTCAATGCTGTGTGCCGTGAGTTGATAAGGTGTCTTAATCGGAAGTGCTTTCCGTCTCTGAAGGAGTCATAGTGGACATGTTTCAACAGGAGTATAATGTCATAATAGTACTTAGGGTGGGGGGGCGGGTAAAAGTCCATGCTCTATAGGTAAATAGTCATTTAAGGACAACAGAAGTATAATGTTATAATAGTACTTAGGGTGGGGGGGCGGGTAAAAGTCCATGCTCTCTGTAGGTAATTAGTCATGTCAGGCCTGACTTGGCAGTCAGGTGTGGTGCGTGCAGTTTGGGTTTTCGTGAGTTTGTTTTGGGATAGTCTCTGAACCAACCAGAAGCCTTCGTTGAGAGTTCCTTCTCTGTCAAGCACGGTCCAGACCACTGAGGGCTGTCATCTTTACCCTTATGAGAACAGTGTGGAGAAACTAAGGTATAACGTATGTTATCTGCTCGGTACATTCTAGTTGCCTAAGTTAAGATACTGTATCAAGTTCGGAGACGAAGACAGAGTGGTTACGGGTGGGTAAGGATAGAATCTGGTATCAGGCTAACCTATTTACAGAGGGTATTATTTTGGTCAAGTTCATTAAGCTTTTCTTCATATGTAAATTGATTGAAATGGCAGCTGCAGGCGCCCTGTTTACTAATCTTTGGTGAGTGATTGACTGTCATATTAGGACAGTTCCTGGCAGAATAAAGGTGACTACTAATTGCCGAGGGAAAGGATGGCTGTAGTGACATTGATACCCTAGAAAGTTAGGGCTTAGGTACAAAAATTGAGAAGAATGTGAAAAATACTACTGCTGATTGAGGGGAAAGGCAAGCTTCAAAATGGAAAAGTAGTTGAGCCACGGTCATCTTGACCCTTTGAGCCCTTCTGTCATTATCTGTGGCTTCTGAAAAGCTATGTGCTTTGTCTGCCTTGAGGATACATGCTTTCTCTCCAAGAGTTGCATGCATAGGAAACATTTACCTTCGTACCTTTAGTAGATGTAGTTTTACAACACTGTCTTTACCAAGGTCAAGAACACACTCCATCAGGATGGAATGCTGCTGTTTCACTTCAGTTCCAAATTAAGGGTTCTATATATTACCTAGGAAGTTGTTAATGGGATAAAATGAGTACTGCTTATCATAATACAATATGCTTAAACCTCCCCAACTCATTTTCACATCAAAAAGTACTATTTTTGCCCTTTAAAGAAAGTAATAGCTATATCAGTTTTCTAAGAACTGTTTTTTAGGATATATATTAAATGTTCTTTGTATTGCATTAATTACTAGGAACTAATTTTTAATTGTAGTAAGTAAATGAAGTATCAAGTATTGTTGATGTGCTTAGATTTGTATACAATTCATGTACTTTAGATAAGTGATTACTATTTTATTTAGCTAATGTCTTATAACATCTCTTAAAATTTTCTATTACTTCGTAACTGCCTGTGTCCATTACATGATGGCTTTCTCCTCCTCTGCCTTTTAACTTACAGCAAAAGATGATGGGAGCATTGCTGTGGCCCTGGGTTACACCGCACACCTGGTCTCCATGGTTTCCTTTTTCCTGCAAGTGCCCCTCAGATACCCTATAATTCACAAGGGATCGAGGTCAACAATCAAAGATAATATTAATGACAAGCTGACTGAAAAGGAAAGGGAGTAAGTATCTTTCTTTTTTCATTTACTTTTAAAATCTAGCTAAAATGACCCATGGAACATTATACATTTTTTAAAATTACGTAATTTAATTTAACCCTTATCAAGGTCTTAGTTTCCTCAAAATAGAACGTAGTCATTCGTTTAGATTTCAATTGTGCAACTACTTCCCTTCCAAAAATTGCCGCTTGTTGTTGTGCCGGCAGACTCGCGATGGGCACACAACAGAAGGAAGTCCTCCCCAATCTTGCAGCAGCCTCACAACTGTTGGGAGTTTGAGCCCGTGGGTAATGGTAGCAAAATGGGCTCATTTCAATCCTGCTATGGTTTTACCTTTGGGGACCAAACAGGATATACTCTGCAGATATTCACGTAATGTTTGTTGCCTGCCAGGCTACAAGTGAAATGGTTAAACTAGTACTCAGAGAGGAAAACAAGAAACCGAGAAAAGGTTCAACAGCAGATAGGACATCGCTGAAGAACGAATTTAGCGAACTAGAAGATAGTAAGAAATAACCTGACTGAAGCATAAACAATCAAAATGATGGGATGTATAGAAAAGTGTGGAGAGCAATTAAAAAGTCTAGCAAACATACAATTGAATGCACGAGAAAAATATAGTACTTTAAAAGTTAATACCTGAGTGGTTTGGTTTTTTTTTTTAAAACCTGCATCTTTAAAATTTAAGAAAGACATCAAACTACAAATTCAAGGAACACTAAATGCAAAGCAGAATACATACAAAGAAAACGTATTGGGCAAATGATGATAAAATAATTGTAAACCTAAAAAGACTAAAAGCAGCTAGCGAAAAAATAGTGTCTTGCTATTAATAATATGAAAAGCTAATTTCTCTGAATAAACATGGCTGCCAGAAGAGTAACAGAAAGCATATTAGTATGTCAATTAATTTTGACTACCAAAGAATAATAATGCCATGTCTTTAACACAGAAGGTGGGCAGGCAAATGGAATTAAAGTGTTTTCAAGACCCTAGACTGTCTGTAAAGTGATAAAAATATTATTTTGTATGTCTAAAGAGCATCCGGGCTACCCTTCTTTTAAAGACGGATTGTGGACACTCTTCTGGGAGTCCGCGGTCAGTGCAGTATTCTTTGCCAGTACCGTGATTCAAAAGAACCAGTCATCCTGTCTCCTGCTCATTGGTAAACTCTCCCATGCAGATGAGGGCATTGAAGATAGGATGGCGTGAATCAGACTCAAAGCGGCATTTTTTCTTTTGAACACTGTAAAGAGATGTTCTGTAGCAAATCTCCCCTATACAATATGTCTTTTAATTTCTTGGAGTTGATTGTGGGTGCAAGTAAAATTAAATTCTTGATAATTTCACTGGTTTCTCCATTTATCATGATGTTGCGGATTGGTCCAGTTGTAAAGATTGTTGTGTCCTTGTATGTTGAAGTTGTTTGATCTGTATCACTAAATGCATCAAGTTCTCTTCACTTTCAGCAAGCGAAGTTGAGCCATTGGCCTGTCACAGACTGTTCATGAGTCTTCCTCTAATTCTGAGCTTAGGATCTTCTTCATATTGTCAGTTTCTTGGATTATTTTCTCTTTTTGCATTCATAGTCTCTATCATATGCTCATAAATCAAGATGCATGTTGCAATCCCGTAGCCACTAAAGAAATTTTTCTGTATCGTGACAGACTGATAAAGGAGAGATGAAAATATTTAAAGAATCTTTGATTAAACCAAAAGAAGGCAAGAAAAGAAAATGGGCACTGAACAATTAAAGTTTATAGAAAGAAGCCCAATGTTATAAGATAATTGAGTTTCATGTAAATTGTATTGGGATTCTACTTAAAAATAAAGATCGTCATATTGGAAAACTAAGTCTGCTTCAAGACACATCTTAAAATAAAATATTAATAATAATAAAAAGGTTGAAAACAAGATGTAATATGCAAATATGAACTAAATTAGAGCTGATATTGTTTTTTTCCCCAACTATACAACTATCCCATTTATTCATAAACATGCTCTACCCAGCATTATTTGTGGGAGCATATTGTTTGTTTATAGGGGTGCATGATTTGTGAAAAATTACTATTGGCAAAAACTCACAGAACTACCTACCAGAAAAATCTAATCAGTAGCAAGCAAAAAAACAAAACATTGCCTTTGAGCCCATTTCAACTCATAGCAATCCTCGAGAGGGTTTCCAAGACTAACTCTTTACAGGAACAGACAGCCTCCTCTTTCTTCCGCTGAGCTGCGGGGGGTATTGAACTACCACCATTGTGGTTCAAAGCCCACAGCATCACCAGGACTCCTCACAATCAATAGTAGGGGATTTTTAAATTTCTTTTTATTACTGTATTACTTGTGTATAAGCTGAGATTTTCAGCACATTTTTAATACAGTTTTTGTGGTAAAATTAGGTGCCTCGGCTGATATTTGGGTCAACTTATCCTCGAGTGTATATGGTAAATACATATAACAGGGTTAGAACAAAAACACCTCACCAATAAGCTTAACCTATGATATGTATAAAGAACCTTGCACCAAATGGTTGCAGAGCACATATTCTTTTCAGATGCACATAAAATATTATCCAAAACTGATTCTATGTCATACCTCACTTGATTTCAAAAGATTGAAATAATTCATAATATATTCACCTACCATGGAATTTATTAGAAATTGACCTTGAAATCCCCAACTCTATGGGGATTCTAAGCAGTATACTGCTGTATAACCTATAGGTCAAAGAAAAAAAACAAAATGGAAATTTGAAATTATTTTTAATTGCGTGACAATGACAGTACCTCACTGCCCTCAAGTCCATTTGGATGCATGCAGACCCTTTGAGACAGCATAGAACTGTCCCTGTGGGTCTCTGAAGCTGGAAACAGCCTCATCTTTCAAACTGCTGACCTTGTAGCACAACACACAACCCAACACCCCCCCCCAGGCATATAGCATGTTAAAACTATGACATTTCAAATTAAAAGGTACGACTAAATGAGTGGTCAGAGGGAAATATGTATGCCTCTAAGTGTATGTAGTAGAATTTTCAAAGATTGGAAATTATTTCAGTATCTGTCTGAAGAAGCTCGAGAAAGATCAGCAAGGTAAGTTAAAGGAATGACTGATAGAGATAATGGCAAATGTTACTTGAACGGCTATACACTGGGAAAAACACTTAAAACAAAAGTTATAGCCCTTGAAATGGCTAGAAAATTTCCACAAGCTTTTGGAAGCCCCCTTGTAGTGTAGATACTAGGAGCTTATCAGCTAAGGGTGAAGTAGTGCTCCAGCCTTATTATATTGCATGTAAAGATACCTACATGTCCCAGTACCACTTGTTGAACAGACTTCTTTGCCTCATTGAGTGGTGATGTCGAGCCTGTCAAAGATGGTTGACCACCGATGGATAGCTTCTTTCCACACCGTGTCCATCCACATTGTGTAATGGCTGTGGCTTTGTAGTGAGGGCTGAAATCAGGAAATGTCGGTTACTCTCCAATTTTGCTTTTTGAAGGTTGTTTTTGACTCTTTGGAGTTCATATAGTTCTCATTCGCTGGGAATCTCACAGTGCTAGGTTAGTCTTTACTTCTGGGGCGCTGAGCTGAGAGATCAGCCAGAGGTGAAAGCTTAGGGTCTTTTCAGACCTTTCCTGAACTTGTGTGTGGCTTTCAGCTGTTCCCTGTCTGAACAAGCCCTTCGGAATGCCCATTTTCCCAAAGAAATTCTCCCCAGCTGCTCTAAACTTTTGACCTGTTTCTCGGGGTTTTAAAAAGTCGCTTCTAGCAGTTTTTGCTTGATTTTCCAATACAGTATGTCTGTGGAGGAATGGATCTGTGGATCTACCTGCTCTGGACTGTTCTCTCGCATCACTACATTTGCTTGTTTCCTTTGTTTTTCAGCGCCCAAACCTTTGTATATATAGCTTACAGAGCTCCCTCTCTAGGGTTTTAAGAAAGAGAGATTACCATTTACAGACACATTTGAGAACGATAGAGAATGATCGTAATGAAATTAAGTGTCTCCCGGATTTCTAGGAAATGTGGGCATGATGATATCACTTAGACGATTAGTTGGAAAACTGCTTTGGGGAATTGGAACAAGGGCTGCCCATTAAACTACTACCCTTTGTCCCAATCCCTTACGCACTTTAATTGGTGACGGAGTGATTTCACGCGTGGGCAGCCCCATGCCGAAGCCCCGGTGTGAGCAGTACACTGAGCTGCCTCGTGAGGGATTCTCCCACACAGCTGGGAAGGCTTTTACCCTTGATGACTTTGGCAGCCCAGATACTCACAAGAATTGTACTTTTGTGAATTAACCTTACTCGACCTTCCTCCTTTTTGTTGAAAGGTGTATTTTATGAACTCTGATATGCCCATTTTGACATTTTAACCTTGCTACACTAAATGCAGCTGACAGTTCCCTGTCGGTGTGATGCTGATGGACAGCGTGCCTCCTTTCTTGGCCATCTAGACATCACCAATGCATCTCACAACTGATTGATGGCATTTTCGATAGGATGAGCTACCAAATATTTTATGTGGCCGTATGCTTTTTTGTAAAAGCACTTCAGATCCTTTTTGGAGCCACAGAGATGCAGAAACACGTCTAATCCAAAAAGCAGGTTTATTGGTCCTCTCGAGGTTTGAGTCCGTCCCTCAGTTCACCGAAAGAGCAGATCAGACACGGTTTTCTTTTCTTCGGACTGTTGTCGGTTTTGTTGTAAACTTCTCCAGGGTAAGATGGGCTCGGCCTTCATGGGAGATGGAAAATAGGAAGTGAATGACTCATTGGACAATTACACTTAGTGTAATCACCCCCGAACCCTCCGTTGCTGCTCTCTGATCCCTGCCTCATCCAGCCATTGGCATGCGCAATGTCAGAATCCAAAGCGCTCTGGCCAGTTCTCTGAAGAAGAAAAAAGCCCTTCTCTTTGTCTGCTCTGGTTGGAGCACTAGTCTGGGCGGACGCCTTGAGTAAACCATTACTCGCACACCTGCACACTGTAAAG